GAGCAGCACACAGAGCAGCACACAGAGCAGCACACAGAGCAGCACGCAGAGCAGCACTGCCCGCAGCACAGCTCCAAGATCCCCGTGCTGCTCACAGCCCAGCATCGCCCAGCAGCCCCACGGCCCCGGCTGCTCACGGCTGGGAGCAGAGGTGGTTTAAGAAAGCATACGCTGTGCTCCCTGTGGTGCAGTGGCACCAGCCCTGCTATGTGTGCACAGCACTCAGAAAGACGAAATGGAGCGTGTTTGTGTTACAGGAGATAAAAACATGGAAACAAAATATACTGCAGAACTCAAGCACCTTATCTTCGCTCAGCCTCTCTTTCTTTGCAATAATTCATTCAAGGAAGATCCAGGAATAATTTTTGATGTAAACTCTGCTATAAACATATATCACTCTGCTGATAAAAATCACAGACAAAACTTGTGAAATACAGTGAGTTTCATTCCTTTATGCTACTAAAATAACTTTTTTCCATTTAAAATTCAAGAGATACTGATCTGCTGTTAAGAGTTCCCCCAAATGCATCATTCTGACACGTCACACTAAAAGTCTCTTATGCTGACCTAAAATAATGGCTTTCGGAACATCTTTGGTGAATCTGGAAGAGGTCAGCGGATTTCAGGGGAAAATTATTTTCTCCTTTTGAAACCATGTTGAACATTTATTAAACATGAAAATCATACGGATGGCTACATGAAAATGCGAAAATAAAAATGCAGTATCTTTAAGGTTGCCTTTGACATAACCTGTCAGAACTCTCTCAAAACTGACCACAGTTCCTCATTTCAGGGTCTCCACTCACAGGTGGACTGCACTTCATTAAGGTTGCAGTTCTGTCCCTTGTTTCCCCCTGGGTTATCAGTCTGCTCCGTTTGGGTCCAAGTGTCATTTGCTGAGGCACAGGCGCTGCCACCCAGCCCCATCCCACAAGGACACAGTCCTGGAGATGCTCAGGGACAGCTTGAAGATCTCAGCTGAGGGTGCTAAAGGGAGCCTAAGATGGAAACCTTGCCTTTCAGGGCTGGATTTTCAGATACAGCCCTATTTTGCTGGCACAATTTTATCACTACAAATATCTGCATCTGAAATGAAACGTGGCTGCAAACCCTGAGGTGTTAATGTTCACAAGTGCAAACTACACCTTTAGCAACAAAACTGGTCTGATGTGCAGCTGAGCACTACGTGGTTGGGTATTTCTGCCACAGCCTTTGCAGACTGTCAGTTATCTGTTACAGAGATATGTTGGGTGCCATCTCAGAGCTCCACAAAGACAACTACTACACACTTGGACTGCCTGGTCAGCAGGGACATCTCTCCCCAGGCTCACACCTTCACAAGGATCATAAAAACTTGCTGGGAGACAGGAAAGGGAGACAGTGACTGGAGCAAGAATATGGAATTAGGAAGGGGTAATGAAGGGGAGAAGGATATAGTTCAATAATTGCTGATAAAATCTGTGGCAGCTATAAATTTACTCTTCCAAAAGAATTCAACAGATCATTACCTCTGTAAATACGTATCACATAATTCTCTCTCTCTGTCACCTTGCAGATAAGTACTTAATATTTAGCATCTCTACCCCGCACAAGCCCAGGCGTAATAAAATCCTGCCATGTTTTTGAATCTCAGTTACTTTTTGACAGTGGATAGTTACGTTTTGACGCCACCAGGAGACACTGTCCCGTTCTCCTAGGGCCTATCTTGTGCCTTTTACAACGAATTTTAGGAATACAGACCCTCATTACTCCACGGGCACAATAAGCACAGCTCCCTGGCTCTGCCCTCTGCCTGGTGTCCCCTCCACACAGGAGCCCTCTGGCTGCTGCCTGCGCCAACGCCTTCCTGAATCAAAGCTCTGCTGACCCTGCAGCCGCAATGGAAGCAATTTCAGACTGTGATGATACTGAGATCCTCACATGTCCGAGGAATTGTTCAAAGTCTTTCCAGATGTTAAGAAGTTCAAAAATATCACAAAGATGTGGAATGGGTATGTGACTCCTGAGCTGCAGCCTACCCAGCGCTTCCTTGGTGCGGCGCTGCCAGCGGCTACAGACAGCAGGCAGGAAACTTAACACCACTGGCCACAAACAGCATTAAAAGGAGGCTCATAAAACGTGCATCTGTTTGCGTTATGTTCTCTACAACAGAATCAAGTCAGATTAAAAACATTCTATAATGAATAAAATACACCTATAAAAGGAAAGGACATGGCAGCAATAATTCTCTGGGCATCTAGCACACAGAGAGAGAGAGAGGAGAGAGGACATAAATAAAAAGGACTACTCACTTGGGCTCTTTTCTTCCACAAGGTCACAGGCACAGAGGAGTTCAGAATCGATTGAAATGGGTTTCTGCTTAATCCAAAACTTAGTGCTGGCCTTCTGATTAGTAACAGGGTCTATCTCTACCTTGTCTCCAGAAATACCTGAGATGAGAAAGAATAGAGAACCACAATAGTGATCTGTTTAAGTGATTTCATATCAGCCATTTGACACACTTTATAAATCTTAAATGGAATGAAAGTATATCGCCCTTCTGGGCTTTTTGAAAGCATGGCAGCTTTTGAAACCGAAAGCAAATGATTATCAAAGTGCATTGATAATCTGTATTTTATTCTCCTGCCTTGCTGGGAAATAAGCACACCAATGAGAAAAAAAAATCACAGGAAAATTTCTTCCCAGCACACACAGAGCTCTTCTGGAAGCAGCAGCTACATGAACCGCAGGATGTATATGAAGACACGTATTTCAGTCGTCACTATTATATGTGAGAGGCACCATCACACGTCACTATTACATCTCCTGGGCAGCACACATAGAACATACTCTACACAAGGACAACACGTGTTTTAGTATTGCAGAAGTGCTCTTTGTGGTAAACAGACACCCACAAACAGTGGCACCCAGCTCTGATGATGCTGCAGTGAGCACAGACTGGGAGCCGGGGAGCTCCTGGCCCCACACAGCCAGCCCAGATGGCCGGGGCTGGTTCCCACCGCACACAGGTGTGTGCCTCCACACACAGCATCCTGCTGCAGACCTCTGGGGACGGAGTGCAGAACATCCCTACACTATTACCCCTCTGCATGTCTCCTGCGAGCGGTGTTTGTGCAGTGGATGTAACGGGGAGCTGCAGCCTGCTGGGGTGCTCATGGCATTTACTGCAGGCGTCATCACGGCACTGCTGTGCTGTGCTGCTGGGCAGGAGCTCATTGTTCAGTGTCTGCTGACACTAAGAAGCAAACTTCTCAGTCTCTAAAAGTCACGGCTTTCAGGTGACGCTCATGGTACAGGAGGAAAAAAGGAAGCAGCAGAGGAGTAAATGAACTTTAGTTCACTCTTGCAACTTACGAAAAATGGCAGAGAGAAACTTCTCCTTTTAAAGGGCTTTGGCTACGATGCTTTTGAATACATTGCCTTTGCTTTGTCTGAAGCAGGAGAAAAAAAGAAGCTGACTATAAAACCTCTAAGAGCTGTGACCAAATAAGCATCAGATGCCACATTCATAACTGTCTCAACCCTCAAAAACAAAGTCAGTGTTTCTAAAAGCACAGTGACTGCTGCAGAATTTGCACATCTCTGTCAGTACTTCATCAGTACTTCATGCACCTAAAACGAAAGCACACACAGCAAGCAATGCATGCTTGCAGCAGCCTTCTCTCCGCTGTCCTTTCTACTGAACACAGGGTAACCTTCACTTTACCCCTGGCTGCTGAGACAGGTGGTAACAATGCCACCAACTCCCTCCCCACTTCTATCAATCCAAGAATGCACTTTGTCATTAAGCATACGTCACATCAAAGACATCACATTTCAATTAAGCACTGTATCAAGAGTCTAATTAACACAAGGACTGTTAGAACTACGTAATGGGAGCAGGCTGACGCTCTGTCTGGAGCCCAATTTGTTTTGCAATGTAATTTTGGACACATTCATTAAAATCAGTTTTGTTATTTCACAGTAATCGATTATTCAAAATGCTATTTCCTGTAGCTTAATCAAAATACGTGAAGTTGAGGACATAAAGAAATAGTCAAGGCAAGTTCTAAGAATAAAAGATAAAACTCTCTGCGTGCAATGGATGCTCCCCCGCCCGCCCTTTAGAAAAAGTCACTCCCAAAAATATCCTTTAAAAATTTCACAGCATGGTCCTGCAACTTCAGCATCCACAGTCAGTCAATATTGTTAACGTACCTTGTTAATTTGATAGGATTTGTCAGGTAACTCCACTGGAAAATTATATAAAACTGTTCCAGATGAACAGATGATAGTGACATGAATTAAAGTGATAGAACAATAGTGGAATATAAACCAGAAATGACACCCAAAGTGGCTGTTGATTTATTGCCATCCTGAGTTTGGTTCTGGGCTTCCATGTATATTAGTGCTACAAATCTGGGTCCATTTAGCAGAGAGATGCTCATACATACATCACCAGCTCCTGCTCCAAGCCAAGGTCACTCCCCATTGCATCAATCTTTTCAGCAGAGGCTACTTCACCAGGCACAGATTTTGTAACCGTCTCAGATGTAACAGACTTCCTCCTCTTTCATCTTTTTTTTATCATGTAAAATACACTTTAACTTCTATTATTTTTATCTGCAAATTGTTGCTGTATACTTCATCCATTATTTCTGTATCTCAGCATCACTGGCTTAAGCTCACACACATCCAAAGAGCACATTGACAAAGAATGCTGTCTTTTTTGTGTTATTGTTCTTGCAATCTGTGCGCGTTGAAACCTAAAATCAAAACACTGTTATGGATGTGGCTTCTACAGTCTCTGTCGCAGCACAAATTTATTATACTCAGAAAATAAGCAAAAATACCTCTTCTAGGATATTTTAAAATTCGTTCAATTTAGCACAAGAAATGTCACAGCTGCAGTACCCCAGTACCACTGCTCTGCCCTCGCTCCCCTTGCTGGCTCTGCGATGCCCCCGCCCCGCAGGAATGCTTTCTGGCAGCAGCTTCCCATGGCAATGCGCTGCTTTTCGTTCTGCTAACATGGTACACAAGCAAATTTGTCTTATGCCTTCACACCACAACTGCACCTTTCTAAAAATGTTGGGAGCACTACTGTATGTGCATCCACCATTAGCTGAGACACACAAAGGTAGGCTTTAAGCTGCCGGGGCTACCGCTTCCAGCCCTAACAAAAATCACATCACGAGGTGCTCATTCCTCCCCTTCCCATTTGCATCTCTTTTTTCTGCCAAGAAGAACCATGCAGAATGTAAAGATGACTGAGCTGGCCCCCATATTTTCAGTAAATTTTGCGTCAGACTCAGTGACCACTTTTCAGACAGCTAAAAACATTTCAAAAAGTACCACTGTGCAGACAGCAATCCACAAACACAGCTCACACTTTGGCGACCTGCCCCATGCAAGTGAAATAAGGTACAGTACAGGATCTATTCAAACAAGATGAGTATTTGCACGTACTCATACATTCTTTCACATTCAGATGATGGAACTGGGGCTCTCCCCAAAGCCACACAGACATTTCCAGGCAGTCACCACACCACTTTTCAGCTAAGTGGGCGGCCATCCTGTGCTGCTGTTGGACCTGTGCTGCCATCAAACCACCAGTGCTGCCAATAAGGAGCGATGCTGTGGCTTCAGAATCTCCAGAAAAATGTCGCTTTGCTGTGGCTGCACCATAAAACCAGTGACACATAAAAATGCTACTGAGAAAAGTCTTAGTGACTGACTGCTAACCAATCACTAAGCCAATGAAGAATTTCTCCATAACCACAGCCACTCATTAGAGATTAAAAGAGAATTAGGTATTTTTTAATACTTCAGACTGCATGGAGCAGTCTGTTACTCGGAGATGATTAACACATTAGCACTCAGCATCGTTACTGCAAATAGCACCTCGGTGCTTGCTTTATCAGCAGTGCTCCTTTAACATCACAGAGACATTCAGTAGAAAAAAACCAGCACTGTACAATTATATTGACTTCTTTTGGAGGCTTTGGCACTGTTTGCCTGGATTGTGAACACCTCACTGAGCCCTCTTGGATTTTCAAACAATAGTCACAATGCAAAAATTCCACTGCCAGTGTGCTGTCATCAGAAAGCATAAATGTTCACAGACTATTATGGAAGGGAAATGCCGTGGTCCTTACACTACTGGGCAGGATCAGCTCCATTGCTACAAAACAAGATACACCACTTGTTTCATTTAACAGCTATTCTCCCTTCCCCATTTATCTGCAGCTATCTGTCGTGACCTCTTTGGGCTCTCATTTCAGACGGCTTCCAGACACAGGGGGTCAAACTTCACTGGAAGCCAACTCTCACTCCCCGACAGTTTGCTCAAAAGCAGAGAACACACCAGTGCTGTCCTGCTCCAGCACGAGCCTATCAACCCTTCCTTAACAAGACAGCTCAGAACCTCCAAGAAAGCCTCTCCTGTACAAATTTTAGAGACATGCGTTTATAATGTGCTTAAGGATGCAAGAGCAAAGAGACTGTAAAGACAACAATACAGAGAATGCTAGCACTTAAATTTAACAGTTCTACTGAATTCCCAAGAATAAGTGTGTTTTGTAAACACCACAGCACCTAATATTTTATTGCCGAATCATTTCTTTATGGACGGTACTTGCAGGAATGTCCCAGGTCACCCACCAGTCCATCATTAATCAAATTCCCACAATTTAAACACAAAGTTAAAAAGCCATTCAATCATTTTAAAACAGCAATGGGACTTTGATAATTCAAGATTCTGTCATCCCTTGGCCTTCAGGTTTTCAAAAGCATTCAGAAAGTGAAGAAGGACAACACAACACCTTCAGAGGATATTTTGCTTCGCTCCAAATGTTGACTCAGTGGTTAAAATCTTTCAGTAAAAAAAAAAGAGATGGGATCATTAAGCAATGGCCTTCCTTCAGAAGAAGCATGTGCTAGCTGATGGTGGATAATAAAAATACCAAATTATTTTCAATGGAAAGCATTTTTTTTTTTTACTGCTGAAATGCTAGCAACACTTTCAAGCGATGTGCTCCACAATAAAACTGACCAACATGATAATGAATGCCTTAAAAATGTCGGAAATGGACAGTTAGCTATTAGATACGGCCAAAGGTTTGAACCATTCAATTTTCCACAGCACTTTAGTAGGGATTGATTTACCTAACTGAACATCAGTGGTGAATCGAAGCCTATGGATCATGCTGACTTTGAAGGACTTGTAGTGGTGGCTGCTGAGCATGTCCTGCACCGTGGCTATGTCGATCTGAGGGTCCTCCTCTGAGATCTCCTCTCCTCTCGAACCTGCAAAACAACCCACAGCAATGAACAAGAGGTTACAGGACGGCACGCAAACCGGCGGCACGTGGCTGCGCGGGGGCACCTGCACTGACATCTAAACCAAGGGATTGCCAATTCGTTCAGGAAAGAAGAAAGCGCTCAGGGCCCACGGCAGCGGGAGGATCCTCTCACGCTCCACCCGCAGACTTGGCCAGCAGCTCATCGCAGACGTTACAGCAGAAGTTCACGGCCCAGTGCAGAGCACTGCCATGTCCCCAACGTCCCAGCGTCAGTTCCTCGTGGGGCACGGGACCCCCCAGCTCTGCCACGTGGGCTCTCCAGCACAGCAGGAGGGGAAGCAGCATCTGAGCCCCAGCTCAGCTGGGCATGGGTCAGCCAGGGCCGCGGGCGCCCACCCCTGCACGGTTCTCCTGGTTGCAGCACAGCGCGGCGCGGCGCAACGTGGCCCCTGCGCTGCCTCTGCCCCCAGCTCAGCTCCCCATACAGAAGCTTACTGTCAATTAGTATTCTCGTTACCACTGCAGGTATGGCTTTAGAAAAGGTAACATCTCATTAAGCCAAAATTCCAATTACTGAAAAAATACAACACATTTTAAGGATTCTTTTTTGTTTTATGACATTGGATTAACACCAATTTAAACATTACTATAATGCAATACATAATTTTGCACAAAGTAATTTCTATGCCAGCTGCTAATAAAGCATCTCAGCTCTAAATGATCATTCCAGTGCCGTTAGATAAAGTGGTAAAAATATATTTGAAAACTGACTTAGCTTCTTCAAGTAGATACTGAAGAATGACACGTTTTGTTCAATATCCCAGCTAATGCAGTCCTAAAAGCTGAACCGACTGCCAGTTCAGAGTACTAAATTTGCTGCAGGAGATTAATGAAAACTTTATATTTTGCTGAAATTTTAATAATGGGAAGATGAGATGCTGGACTTTCAGTACAGGCCTTAAAGCCACAGCACGCTTTGGGGAACCCCTTGCCCATCTCTGCCCCCACCTCGCTGTCGTGCTGCCCCTTGGCCCCAACCTGGGCACTCCAGCTCCCAGGAAGCAGAGAGAATTCCCAGGTCTGGCTCTGGCAACAAGGGCACCTACACTGGAAAGACAGCGGCTCGGGGGGAGCCCTGGCACAGGAGTCAAGTGCCTAGCATTGATTCCAAAGCAGGCTCCCTTGTATCGGGGTAACTTCAGACCTACCCGCCATTTGCTTCAGCAAGAGAAACTGTCAGAGCAGTGGCTGTAAGCAGTACAGACGTAGGAGAGAAGGAACAAAACCGCCAGGAATGGAGCTTTTTCCCAGCTTGCCAGGAGCGTTCCCTTCTCTATTTGTTAATTCAGTTACAAATGTCATTGCTTATGACAAATACCATTCATGTCTGCACTGAAGTAAGATGAGCATTTACTGCTACATGAGTCAAAACACACGTTGAAAGCACACAGAAGATCCACATTTCATCGTGTCAGTCCCACTGCCTCCATCCCACCCACAGCAGGGCTGAGACCACACTTCTCCCACAGCCCCACGGGGAGCACCTGTGGTGTGGGGCAGAGGAGTTAAAGCTACACACTGGGCTGTGCCATTCGGCTTGAAAAAATTCCAAAAATCAAACGAAATGGTCTATGTGTGAATTTATGCAGAGCCATCTTAACATCGCCACCACTCCATGCTCCAGAATGACAAGATAAATTGTAATGGCTCCTTCAGAGACATTACAATGTATTTTGTCAAAGACCCCTGTGTTAATGTCTCTATACTATGGATTATCATAATGTATCATGTCAAATTCTCACGTTGCAGTACTTCAAAGATACACTGAGATATGTCAAACTTTTTGGTGCACTCAGAAGCATCTTGCAGCGGGGTGATGGCACGCCAGGGCTCAGGGAGCAACCTCCCATTCCTGGCCCAGTGTGGGGACATCGTTAATGCTCTGCCATCATTAACACCTCCCAAACCAAACAGAAAGAACATACTAACCTCAGCCTGCACCTTTCCTGAAGGAAAGCTCTGCCCAGTCCCACTGCTGCTGTGCCCCAGCCCCTGCCTGCCCGTAGCTACCAGCGCCCAGCTGCTCTCACATGGCACACACCTCTATTAAAAGTATTAGAAAGAAAATTAGCAGCCTGCCAGGTCATAAGCAAGAGAAAAAAAGCCGCCGTGGCTGCAAACGTGAGCATGTTGGCGTGTGATGCTGCAGCAGTGCGCTCTGCTGTGGCTGACGTGAGGGAACAGCAGGATTTTGCGCTGGAAGCATTTCAGATCCTCTGCGCATCACATAACCTCTGCTGATTTTGTTTTATGAAGCTTTGTGAGTGGATTCAGGTTTACAGAATCCTACAGTTGCTGCTCTTGGGAGAGCAGCCAGAAACTCCACCATCAAAACAGATCATCTGTCTAAAGATGGCAAGACACCCGGACCCCTGAGGGTGCATTGGATAATAGCAGTAATATCAGTAACAACAGAGAGAAATGCCCTGCAGGGAAAAACCTGACTGCAGAGCTTGGCACGTTGCTCTCTCCCCGCAGCTCCGAGGATGTCTGCGAGACTGCCGGAATTCAGCGAGGGGAGCAGCGCCGTCTCCTCGGCTGATTGGGGGAAGAATCATAAAAATATTTTCCACATGCAAGCAGCTGTGAATAAACCTGTCAAATATTTACAGGCCTGTCAGGGTATTTGTAATGGAGATCGCACTGTGGCTTTTGAATGTAAAAGATTCTGCTTGGGAAGACAATCAAGTAAAGTGGATGCTGGGGCCGGCGCTTCCCTGAGAGCTGCCCAGCGGCCGGCAGGGCACACGGCCCTGGCCTGGGCCACAAACAAAGGCCTCTGTATAATGGCTTGCAGAGAACACCGAGAGTTCTGCAGTTCTGCTAACAGTTTGCCTAATTGAGATTTGGCTTGTGAAAGAAACTGCAAAAGAAGCTGGAGCTGTGCGCAGGACAGACAGGTAGGAGCCTGCAAAAAGTGCCAAGCACTGCGAGGCAGCGGGCTGCTCACCGTGCCTCCATAGGGCGCAGCAGTGGGAGAAGCGGGGCACGAGCTCAGCCACGAGCAGAGCAGGAAGGAGCGGCCCGAAGGAAGCGTGAGGCGCTGCTCCAAGCTGAGCCGGGACAGGGCGGCGTGGGGCAGCTGCCCAAGGACTGCACATCCCTGGTGCTGCAACTTGAGGGTGAGTGGAGGTCTGCAGTGCAGGGCTGCCGAGCCGCGGCTCCCTGGGAGCTGCAGCAGCAGTAACAGAGCACACTGTGGCACCGGAGGCGTGAGCCTGGAATGGACGCGTCTGAAAGCTGAAGCTGATCCTGCATGGACTCCTGGAAGAGCCAGGGGATGTCTAAAAGTGATGCATTTCTAATATCAGAACATAGAGATGCTGCTTGTAATACAGCTTCTTAAAATATTTAAGAAAATCCCATTCAAGAGCAAGTGAACCTATATTTCCTTGATGCAACAACAAAACATAAAGTTGACTGCACTGCAGAAATGTCACCTTATTACTTTAATGTACTTGTCTATTGCTTAATGGAAGTTCTTAATTGTATTACAATTAATTACATACACAGGGTCCCCGGTTACATTTTCCAATAAGACACAGCCTTTGGTACAGGTCTAAAGGCACTAAACCAATTTTAATATATTAAGGCCAATTTCCTTTGAATACTAATTACTATCTAATGATAAAATGAGAAAGAGGAACTTTCCAGAAGTAAGATGGTAAGAATAAAACTAAATCAGCCATAAATACTTTGCTACTACATGCTTCACATTACAAAGTGCCAGCTTTTAGCTTAAAGACAAATCTTAGTGCAAGTTAAATAGTTCTAAATATTGGAAACACTTTATTAGTCTGAACATCATTAGTAAAAGCTGGAGAGATATGGGATTTCTCCATGTATATTTTTAATAATGGAAAGTTCTCTGTTTCATTTAATACCCTGAAATATAAACTTTCTATTTGCCCAAAGGAAACTGACAGCCAGTTTACCAGCAGAGATTTGACATTTTACGCATATATGTGCATACATATTTATGAATGGATATGAGACTATGAAGAGTAGATTATAGTTTATATATAGCAGATCATAGATTATATATAATTATAGTTAGTGTAACAGTTTTCTCCTAAGTAGCACATTGAAGCTAAAAATACTTTGAATAAAAACAAAACGCACAACATGAACTAACATTTTGATGTTACTCAGAATTTTCAAGTTATTTGATTAACAGTGCAAAATTGGCACTATTTCTATTCAAGCGCCGTGCCAAAAGATAGCTCCTTAAGCACCACAGCATCCAATTTCTCAGCGCATTCGGGGAACCGGACTACAATGCATGAATTATGACTGATTTTATATACTGCATTGTCCTTGAACATCTGTTTGTGCAGAGAGCTCACTGCATGGCTGTTTCGCATATACCCCTGCACAGGAACAATGGAAAATCACTTTAAATTCACCTACGCTTTGGGGGAGAAATTCCTCCTGCATTCTTTATGGGAATGCGGCGTCAGTTCAGAGAGCGCCCAGTTACAGCATGGCAGAGAAGATACAGAGTGTGCGTAAGCGGTTGTTATTCTGCCTAGATTGCTGCCAGCCTTGAACAAACTCAAACAGCGATCTGTTTTTCAATGACAAAGTGGCCGCTCAGCCTTCCCTTTCAGCCAGGCACAAAATCCGTGCATGGGACCAAAGCCAGCACCTGCAGACAGGACGGCTCCAGGCAGTCCCTGTCCTGGCAGGGCTCTGCTGATCTGTCTAACATGGGCCTGGAGACCTCGAGTTAGAAGCAGTGCTTTTGACTCTACAGCCTCAGAACCTCCCCACACGTTTCCTCAGCTCTGTGTTCCACACAGAAGCTCTCTCCCACCCATGTGCCGCCCCACTGAGAAGGGCAGTGTTTGCTGCAGGAGGGCTCCAGTCAGACGTGAGAGCTCCCTGATATGTGCCAGTTGGAGAGCAGCCCTCCGAGGCTCTGTGTGCCCTGCCAAGGCTGCAGGTTTGGGTGGAGGCAGGGGAGATGAGTGCCTCCTGCTAAGCAACTCACAAATGTAGGACAGATCGATAAGCGAAGCAACCCAGTAGCTCATGAGGGCTCAGAGCATCAGTATGAATACTTACTGGCCACGGGGGGACTCTTCCACAGATGACAAAAGTAAGTTAAAGATGTAGTGTATAAAATCTATTTTTAATTACAGGCCCTGCATACAAAGATGTTATTTTTAACCAAAATACGCAAAACCCACTGAAGTGTGAGTATGCATCTTTTCAAAGGCCAAAAATTTACACAAAATAATAGCTGGGTGCTGACGTTGGGAAGTTCAGCCTTTGGGAGAGTGTGACTGGAGCAGGGAGGCTACAATCGCTTCACTTCATCACAACAGTGCGCAACTTCTCTGCCTCTTGCATCATTCTCTCTCACAGTTTCTTAGAACCACTTTATGAAGAAAGCAAGCAGGAGTGCCAAGAATATTTTGGCAGACAATGCTTAACCTCAGCTCAGCACTGATGTACCACTACAGGGCTCGTTGCAGCCGTGCTGCAGCTTTGCTACTCCTTACACAGAAGCAGAGTCTTTGCTTGCCACTGGAGTTAGGAATTACTTTGGTGATGGTCTTCTGACTTTCTAGGACAAAATATGAAATGCTACAGCAGGAAAGCAGAAATGAAGGGGTCTCATCATTGAAAGCAAGAAATTTTTCTCCTGCTTCTTGAAAATGGCTGTGATTGTTCACGGTAAATACTCTGAATGCAGCCCTGACTGAGAATAGAAATGCATAAAGTTTCCTCATTGGTACAATCACAATTTTGACAACTAAAATAGAATGCAAACGAACCAAAACTGAGAGCACGACAGTTGGAAAGGCTGAAGGATGGAACAGCATCTATGGAGGACAAACACAAATCTATGCTAAAAGTCTACGTAATAAGTTTCACATAATTTCTTGTAAAGAAGTAAATTAGGAAATGGTATTAGGATCATTATAACAGTAACAGAGCAAAAACATTTTAGCATAGGTGAGGAGGTGACTATTTGTCTAGCATTTTTTAAATCATCATACTGCTCTAGTTACAGCTTCGTGCTCAATTTCTTCAAATTCTAATTTGTCACTGACTCCTACAGCAGTGTAGTCATGGCAAAGCACACTGCAGGCCAGCCACTTCATTCACAGAACAGTGTCTGCAATAGAAAAAGCTTCATGTTTCCAGTGTTTCTCAGGGTTGGTCATACATTTACAAAGCAGAGTTCAACAAAAAAAGATTAATCATGAAGTAATAAACAGGATGCAGACTGTTTACTAAAAGGTATGAAATCCATCATTTCCCTTTGGAATATTCTTTTGGCATAACAGAGCAGTGCCTCAGGAAAGGGTCTCATCAGAACTTACTTGCCCAGACAGTACAGCTTGTATTCCAAAATACATAACTTATGTGAGATTAAGCAATTTACAAGAGCAAAAGTGAAAAGGGCAAACGTACTGTTCTCTCGGACAAGGCAGAATTCCAAAGTGCTCTGGCTCTCCAAGGTACAGTCTAAATCTACTGGGACATTAGGTTCACTCTGCTTCTCCAGCCGATACTGAGGACCTGAAACATAAAGTAACTTGTAAAATCATCTGTTTTCTAACAAAGTGATGGCTTATCACGTTCAACTACCACAAGATTACTCACACCCTAGAAGTAAGACAGGTAGACACTTATGTTTCGAAGTTCTTTTCCAAAGGGAAGGGCCCTGTTGTGAGAAAGAGCAGCCTGGTGTGCAAGGAGACAAAATACTCCAGATGCGTTGGGCTGCCTGGCAGTGCTCCCCGCTTTGCTGCCAACCAAATTCTAACCAAAACTTCTGCACTTTTCGTATGCTAACTGAGCTGGTATTAAATACACTCCCCATGCTGCAAGAGAAGGGCACTGCCTGTTTTAAGAAACTCCTATCCAGATCTCAGTGTGTATCTATGCTGTATTACTCGGGCATTTTTCCCATGTGACAAGCACAGTGTGTGTGCTCCCAGCTGCTCTGCCCTCTCTGTGACTCTGGTACAGAACACCCATCCCCAGTTGCTGCCTGGCTGCTGTCTGCCCGAGGACGGTGCAGCTCGGCACCCCAGGCAGTGGGCACTGCTGCTCTGTGGCTGCTTGGCACACCTCAGTGTGTGACTCTTCCAGCTCAGCACCAAAGCCCGCTTGTCTTGTGGGGCTCAGCCAAACAGACACAATTAGAAAACACTGCAGAAAGCCCGTTACACAGCTGAGAAGAGTCTGCACAGAGCATTGTGCAGGGAAATAGCCCTTCTTTTGTAACTTCCTTTAAGAATTGCATTTTGCCGTGAAAATCAGCTCCACCCAATTTGGCTATTTCTACCTCTGCCAACAGAAGGCTCTTCAGAAGGCTGAACTGCCCTCGAGCACGAAGGATTTCCCTCAATAACCAGGAACCCAGGCTGCCTGAAGGGAAGGATCTGGTGTCCCAGCAGCCGGATGGCTGCAATGAGTAGGAAGGGTCTTCAGTGGGGGAATTTGATCTTTTTGCAGAGATCTGTATACTGCTAACATTACAGCTGCTGAAGATAAAAGCTATTTCATATAACTGAATCAAACATGAACACGTAATGATGCTGTTGCTTAAAAAGAGTTATTTTCAGACACATTTCCTGCAGTCATAGGTCTTTTTCAAGATTCAGGTGTCAGTTTCTTTCCTCTCAAACCGCACCACTGAAGGAGACAGTGCTGACACCACTCCAAGACCTGGCAGGGAGAAGCCCCATCATGCTGGGGCACGGGCTCTGTCCTCACTGCAGCCACAGACAGCGCACTCCCTGCCAGCCCCTGAGCTGCGTGCCCAGCTGGGAGCTCTGCCCTGCTCTCCTGTCTGTGGGCAGCAGCATCGCAATGGGCACAGCAGAGCGGTTGCTGCGAGCGCCCTGAGAGCCTAATCCTTGCAAACTGTAAACAGTTCAAGGAGTGTTTCCAATTTCTGAAGCAAAGTTCTGATGACAATGCTACTTTAAATCAGATTGAGTGGTGTCCAACCTTAAAATCTACTCCTGACGTTGGGGAAAAGGCGGCTGCTGGAGGGAACTGCAGCAACCTGCTGGCCCAAGGCTGGTTAGAGTGAACAACGATACAGAGCACCTTTACACTGGTCCTTATATAACAAAATAAATGGGATTGAAATAATGAAATAAATCTACTCCCTCTTTATGAGCATTTAAAATATTTCTGAATACTTTTCTGACTTTGAATTATGACAGTATGCAATGAAATATTTAAAAAATATAAGAAAATTAAGTATCTTAGCCTCTGATGGCATGCCTAAGAAATGAAATTTGTTAGCCAATTAATTTTAAATTTACTACAGCAGACGTTCAATTACAGCTTCCCATCTCACCTCCCCAAAGCTGCGTGCAGAGCATTCAGCTCCCAAACAGAGCACTGCTCCTCTGCGCCATGGAGCTCAGAAACTCAGGCAACTTTCTATGTGAATAACTCCTTAAAAACAGGAAATACGAAGAAATTCACAAAAAAGTACACATGGGTTTTTACAGTACCTACTCTGAAATAATACACAGTATGTGTCCGTGCACATTTATGTGGCCACTTCACGGCAGATGGCAACCATCCGGCTGGTTCCGTGGGGGATTTTTACTAGCAGACGTCCCTCACGAGTTCAAATGAAGTAACTGTAGCAGAAACATGACGTGATTTAACGGCCTCCTAACAGAGCGTGGCTGGGGGAACTTCAACCACATTTCGGGCTGCAGTGCCAAGGCTGGGCTCCACGGCTCCCTGCTGCCTGGTGCAACGGCTCCGTGCGGCTGCAGGAGGGCTGGAGGCAGCAGGACCCGCCCTGAGAACCAAAGGAATGGCTATGAGCTGCTGCTCCAGTCCTTGGGCTCTGTCACAATACTTGGAGGGAGATAAACCGCTGCTGAGAGAAAGCAAGCAGGGCCTGGAATAGCCAAGTCCTGGAACAGCCACAGAACGGTGCGAGAAAACGCCCCAAGCCCGAGGGAGCAGCTCGAGGCCCAGCAGCACGCCCGGCCCCGGGGCAGCCTGGGCACCTGGCTCCTGCCGCGGCCAGCAGTGGGACTGACGGCGCCCCCACACAGCGGCCCCGCCGCCCCGACCAGCACCACGCGACCCCCTGCACCACTGCTGGCTGCTGGCAGGCACCTACTGCACCTTGCTGTTTCAAGATAGCCCTTACAACAGAGGAAGGCTTATTGGGAATTAAGAACGGACAAGAAAAATTGCAGTACCACATCTGTAGTGTTATTTTCCTACAGCACCACTCCGACGCGTCCCAGGAAGAATCGCACGGCATAATCAAATTAAGCATCTCTCTTACAAAAGGGAATGGCCATCCATGTAACAACAAACCAATTCTGTTGCCTTTTAAACTGCAAAGCCTTCAGAATGGGGTTTTGAAAGCATGACCCATCAGTTCTAATTTTTAAAACTTATCCTTTCAGTCAAGACTAGAAAAAGGCCCATTCCAACTTTTATCTTCACTACAAAGTGCTGTTATCTTGGGCTGATGTCAGGAGCTCTATCTCTCTTTCTGCTGACAAGCAGAGACTAGAGAGATAAGATTGGGAACGAATCTCACTTCTCTGAGTAAATAAATAATCAATACTCATCTAAATGTAAATGAGAAAGTATCCCCCTCTGATAACAGGGCTCTTATCAAACAGCCAATTTTCTACAGACATTTGGCCTCAACCAAATCACCATCATTCAGCCCCAGCCTAATGGCTAAAAATCGTAACTAAATTGAACCGATCACCAGAGATCAACTAAGTTCAGCCATGGCTACTACAGGTTCAAATGTTTGGAATGCAATTTTTCCCCCATTAACTTTCAATAGCAATGAAGAATACCACGGTCAGGGGTTGAATCTGCACAATAAACAAATAGTAACACTTAGAAAGAGAAGGAGGCTTTAAGGGAAACTCCGAACAAAAGCCATCTCAATCTGCACACAAGTTAATAAGATAAAACGGGGATCACAGACTTACCGTGATATTTGATGTTTGTGGAGTTGTCAAACCTAACCTTTTCTAAACGCACTAGTATAAAAGAAAGAAAGAAAGAAACAAAAAAACCCCACCCAAATGGTTTAAAACAGAACCGACATTCCTAGTGTTAGTCTGCAACAAAACACATCTTTGGTCCTGCTCAGCCCTTATCTTCACCTAGCTCCCAGGAGCTCCTGAATTCTCACAAAAGCCCCAGCTCCAGCTATATTCCTTTGTCAGCTGCTTCCGCTCCCTTTATTGTCCAGGCATTTGTTCAAAACACTTTTGAATTTCTGATTTCCACAACACTGGCTCCCATAATTTATTGCACTGTGTGAGAAAAAGAATTCCCTTTTGTCTCAGAACATTATTGTCTGCCTACTGCTTTTGGTGCCACGCAGTTCTTGTTTTATGAACAACAGTGATAAAACCCTCCCATTTAACCCAGTGTACCGTTCTCAGCCCACACACTTCATGGTCTCCCCTTGTGCCCAGTCATCTCATTTTCCAAACTAGCCAAAGATCTCTGCTCAGAACCTACTCATTTCATGCCAGATCCATTTTTGCATTCACACGTTTCTGCATCTTTGTTGCTACTACCATTATCCTTTTTAAGATATTATCCTTTGTAAGATAAAATGTAACAATCAAGATGTGGGCACTCCATGATTTATGTGCATGGGCACAGCAACACTTTCTGTTTTGTTCTCTCCTCCTCTCCTGATTTCTAATATTCTATTTGTCTTCCTGACTGCTCCTAAGCATGGAGCCGAAGTGTTCAGAGAACTATCCATGACGACTCCAAGATACTTTTCTTGACTGATGGAAAGTAATTAGAGCCCATCATTGTATACGTATAGTTACGGTTGCTTTTCACCACGTATATTATTTTGCACTCATTGACACTGAATTCCCTCTCTCGTTTTATTGTCCTGTCACTCAGCATTGTGAGATACCTCTGCAGCGCTTCACAGACAGCTTTTATTTGCACTATTCTTGCTTCCTTTGTATCAACAGCACATTTTGTCACATCAGCATTCACATCCTTTTCCACGCTGCACATTAACTGAACAATGCAGGTTCTACCAGTTCCAGTGGAACTTCACCAGTAACCTAGTTACTAATAATGGAGAGCCATTATTCCTATTCTTTGTTTCCTGTCTTTTAATCAATTATTAATCCATGTGAGGATCCTCCTTCTCATCCCATGACAGCTTAATTGCTTTATGAGCCTTTGTCAAATCTTTTTGGAAATCTAAGCGTGCCGTATAAAACGCATCATCCTTATTCAGAAGGTCTCTGGTGTCAGGGGCTGCTCACATGTTTGTGAGGCACAATCTCCCCTACAAAAGCTGCACCAATTTCTTCCTCGCTGTACTGCATTTGTCCACGTCACCTTTTAATTTCCTTCTTTGCTAAAATGTTATGTAGCTAAAAGGAAGCTGAGGAATGCAGGTCTCTCCTCACGCTCTTCCGAAGAACGGCTGCCATACCACTCCCTGAGCAAGGCAGCAAGAGCATTATGTCACACCCCATTTAACACTGCAGCACATTCGTAAGTGAGCTCTCCCC